TCAGAAAGAGAAAAACAAATACTGTATGCTAACACATATATATGGAATGTAAAAAAAAAAAAACGGTTCTGAAGAAAGTAGGCGCAGGACAGGAATAAAGACACAGATGTAGAGAATGGACTTGAGGACACAGGGAGGGGGAGGGGCAAGCTGGGAAGAAGTGAGAGAGTGCCATAGACCTATGTGTACTGCCAAATGTAAAATAGATAGCTAGTGGGAAGCAGCCACATAGCACAGGGAGATCAGGTAGGTGCTTTGTGCCCATCTAGAGGGGTGGGATATGGAGGGTGGGAAGGAGACAGAAGAGGGAGGAGATATGGGGATTTATATATATGTATAGCTGATTCACTTTGTTATAAAGCAGAAACTAACACACCTTTGTGAAGCAATTATACTCCAATAAAGATGTTTAAAAAAAAAAAAAAAAGACTGGAGTGAGGGGAAGACTGGGGAAGCTCCAAGGGGAATGATATGACAGGAGAGAATACCAGGGTGTTTGCCATGCACCATGGCAGGCACACTCAGTGTATTTTATTCCTTATATAATTGAAAAGAGTATGACTAGGGGAATGAGAGCAGATATATTCTTGAATTCTGGCTGAGGATGACAAATTGAAGTTAAAAACCAATTTAAAGAGGTAATATATTTATAGAATTTGTCAACGTACCTTTGGGAGTATAAATAAATATTTCACATGCACGTATCGTATCACCTTAAGCTCCTTAAGCAAAAAGACTAAGGTAATTTTTGTACTCCCAACATTTCTTTCTTTATGAAATTACACATAATAATTGTTCAATAAATGGTGAACTAACTAAGATAGGTAACTTTGATCTCAGAAAGTGTACAGTCTCTTTGCAGAGACTGAATATAATCATCTGGAAAGTTAAATAAGAGTACATGGTTGTATGTATTAAGTGCACAGTAAACTGTAGAATTCTTTATATAAATTCAGAGAAATGCAATGTTATGAGGTGGTTAAAATTGATAGATAATCTTTGGATTAATTGTTAAAGTTCCAATCCCTGCTCTGTTACTAACTGGCTAGATGACCTTGCAGATTATTTAAACTCTTCTGTCGCTAGATTTATTCTTCTGTAAAATGGGGCTATTGTTATATAGCCAGTAGCCTATTGGGCTGTTGAGGTTTAAACAAGAGAGTGAATGTGAAGTGCTTTAGATAGTGATTGGCACATATAAGGCTTCTATAGATGGTAGAGAAATAAAGGTTTCTTGGGGTAGGTGAGACTGAAGCCAGATCCTGAAGAATAGGTAGAGTTTAGACAATTGGGGAAGAAGGATATATATCATGAATTATAGGTCTGACATTTAAATTGCTTTGTTACCTTTGGCAAGTCTCTGAAATTCTCTGTGCCTGGTTTTCCTTCTTATAAAAAATGGGTTTTTGTAGTTATAGTGCTTGATGCATAGCTGGTGCTCTTATCATAGTTGCTCTTATCAATAGATGTGGTTATTGTCACTGCTGTCATCATCATTGTCATCACTGTCATCATCATCATCAGGGTAGGAGATAGACAAGACTTTGGCTGTCTTGGAGCTGATGTGTCAGGGAATGGAGGGAACCAAGATTTATAATTGCGGAAGGGTCTTATTGCAAAATCTCTTTTCAAATGAAAGAACTATTAGAAAAATAGAAAACTTTGATTATGATTTCAGGGATTTAAGCTGCCTACTGTGTCCAGAATGTGGGCTTTCTATAGAATAAATTTTATTTCACATCAATTTTTTGAAACAAACTAAAGATACCAGGTTGTACTTTTGCAATGGCTGTTTTCTTACCTTTTTCTGTTAATGTTTGTTTGTTTTTTACCTTTTGAGGAAAGCTCTTTAGAAGGATCCAAATTTTGTGTTTTTACCATACTGAAACCTATTATAAGACACATAGTTAAAAGGACTATGCAGCTTGCTGCTGTGACCACATACCTTTGGAATGAGCTTTGAAAATGTTAAGTTGTTGATGCAGAAAATCATGATAAGGCAGTAGAATTATTTTTATTAAGCCAGTAGAAATTATATCTATATTCCAAAAAAGAAATCTTTGTTCTTTTGGTATTCATGTCAGAGTTAGTGATAATTCATGTAGTTTCTGCTACTAGTTATGTGTTAATAAGCCTTTTCCTTAATTATTTTTTCTGTTTAGAACGATATCGCATCCAGAGTGAACAATTTGAGGATCTTTGGCTCATAACAAATGAGCTTATTATCCGCCTTCAGGAATATTTTGAAAAACAGGGAATCAAAGATTTCGCATGTTCTTTTTCTGGATCTATGCCCCTTCAAGAATATTTTGAGTTGATCGATCATCATTTTGAGGTGTGTATGATCATAACCCGTATCATCTGTAATTTTTCAATATATGAAAGAAAGTTGCTATAGAGGTAAGGATTTTAGTATACATGCTATTAGGCAGTGTACGTCAAGTTGTTATTCTTATGTGGATGGTGGGGTTGTGAATCTGTTCCTGCCCTCTTGCCCAGTTTGTGATCAATTGCAGACTTTTACAGAGTGGCTGCCTGGAGCTGTGGTCTGGCCTCAGAACAGAGCTGGTTTAATTCTCCCACATGGGGATTTAACCTTTGACACCAATAACCCAGTGTTAAAACTATTTGAGCTTATTGGCAGGCATTTGGCTAACTAATTCTAGCAGGCCATAAATGAGGTGTGATTATAAAGTAAAGTGATTTTTCCTTTTCATTTTTAACAAGCGCACCAGAACTTCTGCATCTGAATGAGGGTTAATCACATAAAATATTCTCCAGTATCTGGCACAATGGGTGCTTAGTAAATGCTGAATGATTAAATTTCTAAATTAATGAGATCTGACAGTGACTTTGTTGCCTGGATATGTTTGCATTTCTTCTTTGGAAGTACCTTCAGAGCCTGTGTTAGATTCTCTTGAGTATCTTGAGGGTGTCAAATCTTCATCCTTTGAAGATTGATTTGATATTTGGAAATAGTCAGGAGTCATGTTTTGTGAAAAAAATTGGGCAATGAAAGTCATTGTTTTAAGTCCCATGTGTTAAAAAAAAATTCACCAGGCTCTTCTTATTTGCCTATAAGTAGACCCTGTAGGGAATTACAAAGAGGAATTTCAAAAAAATTTTGCACTTTGTTTAAGGAAACATTGGTTCCCTAGAGTGGCTACTTTTTAAGGAATCAATAGGTTTTTGCATTTCAATTTGTAAGCTATGGTGTGTGTTGTGTGTGTGTGTGTGTGTGTGTGTGTGTGTGTGTGTGCGCACGTGCATGCGTGTGTGTGTGTGTTAGTGAGAGAGGATGAGAGAGAGAAAGAGGGAGTGAGAGAGAGAATACGTCATGTAAATTGTCAGTCACATGAACATTCTACTTAATGTTCAGTCCCTTGAACATTCTAAGAGCATTGAATTTAACCTACAAATAAAGACTTCTTTGAATACAGTGTGAACATAAAGGGAAAATTTCAGCGCATACCGCCCAATTGCAGATAACATGGCATTATCAAATAAATTGAATTTATTTGGGTCTTCCCTCATCTAAGCTGATAATATTGTATAGGACAGTATACTTTGACCAAATTGTGGCACCAAAATCAATAGTTTGGGAAATATGTTTAGGTACTCTAAGTATTGAGGACCTTTATAATTCTCTAGGATATATCTTAAGAAATTCCTGTTTCACTGTGCAAAACTGGGGTCCAGTGACTTATGGAAGAGAGTCCACAGAAAGACTATACTAATTACCTATTTTTAATATTTAAAATAAAAAAATATTAGATTCTAATTGACTATGTTTGACATACAGTCTGCCTCCCTCCTCCCCTCCTTATTTGCTGGCTAGTAAATCCCTGGAGTTTCTACATCAGGGACATTTCCTTTCTGGGGAGGGACTTAGGGAATGTGGTGAACTATAGGCACTTTTGTTACACAGTTAAAAAGGGCATGCTTATACTTCCTTTTGCTCTCTGGCCCCGCTCTACTTTTTTTTTTTTTTTTTTTTT